TCCGACGTTTTTGCGTGTTTTAACACATATCGTGCTTATTTGCTTGGCACACGGACACACTATAGGCCCTACTCTATAGTATCTAGTTGCGCCTGGTTTAGTTGTTTTACTGTACTATACAGTATTACTTCATCTATGGTACAGTACAAGATGTTATTTAAACAACAGCACATTCGTTCCAATTTTTTCCAGCTATTTTATGAAAATGCTCGTATTACCTAAAGTCACATACTGTATTGTAAATCTGATGAATCTCTAAATTAACGTCACACTAAATAAAAATCACATAAAGCAAGGACTATACCAATATTTTCTCAAATTAGAAAAAATAGGGTCACTCGCTTTCCAACCACGTCGTGATTTCCTCTTCCCGGGTGTTGTCGCAGTTTTTTAAAACACCTTTGGTACTATCTGTTAAATAAGTCTCTACCACAAACACTATTACCAAACAGTATTTTCCTATCGAGAATCAACTCCAAGTAGAAATAACGGTTACATCCACACCTGGAGACCTGGAGCGATCCAACCACGACTTCCACCCCGGGTGTACGACGTCCCATGACGCCCGTCTGTGTGGTCCCGCGGGAGGTCAGGAGGTCGCGGGTTCGAGCCCCACAGGAAGCGTATTTCTGGATGTATGTTGACAAGACCCAACCCTGGTAACCCGAGCCCGGACGTTGGATGTTTGCCGACCTTCACCCCAGGTGATGTGGGGATGAGAACGGACGATGGGGTGGTTTGGGGGAAAACATAACTGGCAGAAATCTAACGGGTGAAAGTATTTACGAAGAAATTTATTTGAGAGACTATTTTAGAATAATAATGTAAAAATTAAAATTTCAACCACACCCGCCCCCTTTCTATAACTTTGCGTGGTGACTGCATAATAAGGGTTCATCGCCAAGGTTAAGTGCATAGGATTGGAGGCGAGTTAATACAGGTTGTCAAAAATTGGTCAAAATTACAAAATAAACAATTACGATGAAATGTTTGAAAGCCAATATCTGAGACTCGAATAACCTCAAAGTGAAGAAAGAAAATTGAGAATCTCAATTTTAATTTTAACTAGCAATTAAATGTTAATTTGGGGTTAACTAAAAAGTACCAGAATTGAACTACAACTATAATTCGGCATCTTCCATTTTGGGCTCTAATAAATAGTTCATTTATTTATCAAAGGCTTAAAACAATATTGTCGATTGTTTTGGGATTTGCCAGTTTCATAACTGTAGACCTAAAAAGAATATTGTATGTTACATGTTAACTAAATAAAAACAATCTTAAATAGTCTTTATCGCTTGCACCCATAGAAGCAATTAATTCCTCTTTAATACAAATATAGATACAATATAGCATACATGTACCACCACTATGTATGTGTTTGGCCTGTAACCAGTTTAATAAGTTTTAATTGTTTTCAAATCGAGACACTGCATTTTCAACTAATCTAATATTTTTTCAAGAGAGTAGAGTACTTGTGTTTACTGATAAAAAAACATGAGATATTTTTCTACAACACCAACGTAGACAACTTTTTTACCAAAACGTATACAAATCCAGTTAAAAGAACTTTTGTACTTTTGATATTATAGTTGTTCAATAACACATGTTTTATGGTTCGTAATTCCACCGCAGTTGTTTGTGGCACGTGTGTGTTTTATAATTGGAAATAAGGTGTTGGAATGAGGACAATTCGTATTCCGTAGTTATTCAAATCACCAGCTGTTTCCTGTACAGATAGTTTGTCTTATCTTCACCTGATTCCCACACTTGTCTTTGCAGATTGAATTCAGAGGGAAATCACATTTGTTAAGGTTACGGGAGTTTGTAAGGAAAGTTTTGTTATTTATTAGTTTGAAACATAATCTGTTGACTATTTTAAATTTATATTAGTTGAAAATGAATTTCATGAATGTTACTCATAGTAAAAGTATCAATCGATTGAATTCAACCAATCGAATTAAGATAATCGCATGTTCTTTTTTATAAAACATATTTTCATGCACCGCTGCACTGTGGATGTTCCTCTTAACTTTCGAAAGGGGTACATTTAATGAATCAGTTCGTATCAAGACTAAACAAATTCGAACGGGTTATGAAAAAACGTAGGTACTCATTAGATTTTGGTTTCCAAATCACTGCCTAATATAAGTTATGTGACTTAAAAACATAAAAATAATGGTCCAATTTATCATAACCAGCGCATCAGAAACGACCAAATTCAATAACAACTTTTTAATTTAAATTACTTAATACCGGCGACGTCTTTAAAACTTGTTTATGACACTAAGACTTCTTCTAAAGCTAAATATTGTGTAAAAACATTCGAATACAATATGTATTACCTTTACACTAATCTAAAAATATATCTCAGCTAAAATAATTTAAACCCTATCCCCGTCTCGTTGTCTGCAGCATCCCATTAAAGTCATCTCCACTCCCGCCGTTTATCACCCGCCAAAACTAAGTGGACATAACCTAATATTGCAAGTGCAAACGCCCCAGTGATCAGCTGTTTTATCGCAACAATGTGATCAGCTGTTGGCGTTGGGTGCTAATCACATCACAGCCCGTCACAGTCGCAGTTTTTATTGAATCAAGGTCCAGTGACTAACGCCGCTAACGCCCTCGCTGGGGGAAGTGATCAGGGTCTAATCAAGGGGCATAATTGTCATCTAATGGATGGATCTAATGGCGATGTTTGTTTTCGAGCTCCCAGTCAATATAAGCTGATGGCTCAATTGCGTTTTTGTCCCCTTACGTAGGTGGGTCGAAAAGCTATTGAATATATCTAGTACTATTAGGCATCGGTGTACAAAACTGCTAAAATATTTTATAGTTTGATGTTTCAAATAATTAGCATTGTAAGCTTCCACTATACATTAAAGTACAAAACCCATTTCCATCACAAAATGTAAGCTTTAGGATGAAAGTAAAGTAGTTAGTTTAAAAAATGTAGTTTAAGTACCTAGTTGCCGCCGACAGAGGGCACTGAAAATAAATAATTAATGATTACTGACGAATTTTGCAGCATTCTAATTAAGCAAAATAATATCAAAATAATGTATAAAATATGTATTTTATGACACATCAACTATAGACATAAAGAGAGAAAAAGAATGTTAGCAGTAACGCACCCAATGACAGGCATATTCAATCATGATCTACAGTATGACTATTTTAATAAAAAATCTGACACTGCTGGTCCATGAAAAGAGCCTACCTTCGGTATCGTAAAATAAGTGTAATATAAAACTATTTCCCTACATGGGGCATTCTCTAAAAAGTATTAGCTCGACGTAAACTAAGTTTTAAAACTAACTTATAAGTTATAACTTGTACACGTGTTATGGAACTATTGAATCGTGATTTACCATCATCATAATCAATTAATCATGTCAACATAATTTTTAATGTCATGTCATGATGTTCCACCATAATAATGTGCACTTACACCGGTTTAACATCCTTACTTAAGCCCGGAATGTCTAGAGAACAACTGGAGTATGAGTTTATTGTAGTGCTGGTGTTCAATATTTTATGAGAATGATAGAAACGCCACTTTATCAAAGGTCTCAATGTTTTACACAGCTTTGTTTAGTTACACATAACACGCTAGTACTTTATTTTGCGAATCCTAAATGTTTTATATTCACTAAAAGTTTTTTAAGAAAGGAAATTTGACCAATAAATGTGACCGTACCCAGTAACGCAGTATGTTTCAGCTTGGTTTACAAACAAGTATTCTCGATGTATCGTCCTGGATTGCTGTAACATAAACTACATAAAACAACAGTTCAAATCCCATAAACACACTTACACCATAACATATATATATATATATATATATATATATATATATATATATATATAAACTATATCAGCAGTTGATTCCTCGAGCATCAATGTTTGTGGGGGCTGCACACTGCACACTGCACGCTGCACGACGCGCAGGAGATCAGTACCAAATTGATGAGCGTCTTAAAAGGGCTTTACAGGTCCATGTGGTTGTTTGTCATCTTAAGAACCGCTGTTTGGGTGGGGGAAGTGGGGGAAGGGACGCAGACACGTTTTCCCCCCTTTCCACCCTGAAGGCTCCCGGGTTTTATGGGGGACGAAAATCTTTCACTGCTAGGGTGGTCTGAATCGTTCCGCAGTGGCATATTTTGCTTACTTTCTTTCCTAAAATATTTTATGCAATTTTTGATAGTAGATTGTTTTTGAAAATAATAATTACGTCAAAAGCAAGTACGCATACAAGTGATTATTTTGTATCATGGGCTAGATGTTTATATGTTTTTAAGTGAATATTACAAATATATACACTTTGAATAATTACAAATACCAGTTAGTTATTAGGGAAACAAATTGCTTAACATTCAAAGAATAAAAGGCCAGCATACATAATTTGTACATGACTTTTCTGCATTAGAGTTTTATGTGAATCATTTTCCTTTTTCGTGTTGCATGTGTTTAGCACAATGAATACTCAACCCGTAAAAATCTACGTAGTAAGTAGATAAAAAACAAATTTAAAAATGAGAGGATAAATCGTTATTTCCTCTGTATTCAAAATCGGAATGTTCTCTGATGTCTTTTACCTCACTCGTGTACGTTGCTCAGGAAGTTATAAGATATTCAAGTATTCATGTTTTCTAAAGGGAAGAGTCGGCTAGGGAGACAAGATTAAATATGTAACTGTTTTTTTTAACTTAAAACTGGATGTTTTGGAGAGCCTTTTATTATTTTTTTATTGAAAAGTCTGAAATATATTCTGAAACGTCTCATAGCAAACAATGAATTTCTAACTATAAATTTGTGATGTGTCGTACAAAAGATTATTTGCTCAAATTTATCTTTTTCACAAATCATCCAATAGGATTTTCTTATAAAAATCCATGTGTGAACAGAATCAATCCTCACCTATCGCTTCTGTTATCTAATTGCTTTTCCCACCTGCGTATCTTCATTCAGCAAATAAACCAATTCCTCTTTTACAGGTTATTCGGGACCAAGTGCGACAAGTGTTCGCAATCCTTCAGCAAGAACGACTTTGTGATGCGCGCCAAGACGAAGATCTACCACATAGAGTGTTTTCGGTGTTCCGCCTGTGAAAGACAGCTGATCCCCGGGGACGAGTTCGCGCTCAGAGAGGACGGTCTGTTCTGCAAGGAGGATCACGAAGTACTGGAGAAGGCGACCAACGGCGAGAACAACAATAACAACACCAACCTCAACAACAACAACAGTTTACACCACAACGAGGGGTCCAACTCCGGTGAGTTTGTAAAAAGCTAACGAATTAAATCGTTTGTCGATTTTATCCATTGACGTCTCATTGGAAAGAGCGTGTCGTGTAGATTTGCAAACTGGCTTACATTTTTGAAAAAGTCCCTTGGGCTCTGCCCCAGTGGCTTTGAAAGTTCCCATGTTATCCTTATGAAGAACATAATTGTTTATATTTTGATCAGCTGTATAATTTTATTGCTGTTATTTACTTTTTAATTCAATGAAACACATTGAGTACATTTATTTACTATTTGAGTTTGTGTAAACATAACCCCCAAGACGGATCGTGTTAGTATGGTTGTATCTTAAATTTGTGTATTTATCGTTGTTTTGTGTCGCTATGATGGATTGTGTTAGCATGATTGTAACTTAAATTTGTGCATTTATCGTTGTTTTGTGTAGCTATAATTTGTTTATTATTTGTTGTTATTCCTTTTAAATGTCTCTGACGCAACGACAACGAAACATAGACAGGAAGCGCAATCGTGATAACGACCGCAGCTACAGAACAGCGAACCTGAACCTGGACACTATTAGGTTACAAATGCGCCCTAACACTACCCCAAAACGACTTTTCGTTCTCAATTGGCCCTCTATTAATGACCTGTGTTGCCTGGACAGCGAGGCATTTTGAGAAGGAGAGAACCGTCCGGAATGCTTTAGGTTTATCAATAACGAAGATAAACAGGGTCTGAGTTACACAACGGTAATATTTGAGTTGATCTTTTAAACTCATTGTAAATATGACTGTTATTCAATCTTAAATAACTCCTGTAATACTTTGTTATTGCTCGAATTCGAGCAACATGTACACTAGTAGTTATAATAACAAAATCCGCTCCAAATATGCTGGGTTGTTTTAAGTGTTGTAAGATGCTAACTTAGAAATACTTTATCAAAGACGGTAAGTCAGCGAATCAACAGTTGCGGTCTGTTGGGAGAAATATTCTTTCACGTTACAGGAACAATAAAATTGAATCAAACAATTTAATCATGATTGATTATTTTTGAATGGAAAATTGAGTTATTTTCGTCTCAAACGCGCGAAATGAAAAACATCCATCAGTCATACGTTCATATAAATTATATTCACTCTATATGAACTCTTCGCGTAATTATGAAGATAAATGTTTGACTAAACTATTGGATTACCGTTTTCTATCCTAATTTAAACATTGTGAACCTAAGCTTTTCACAAGCCTCGATCACTTGGAAACACAATGTTCCACTTGTAAGCCCTTCATTGGCCGATTATCCGGATTAAGGACACAGGGATGTTCCCAGGACAGACAAGTGCGGGAAGTATTGATAAGAGATAACACCGCTGTTATCACCGTTATCACCTTGTTGTGACAGCTGGCTCGGCGGCGACCCCAAAGAAGGTTCGTGTTTGGCCTCTAATATTTACCGTGATAAAAACCACGGAGAGGCCAGATTGGTAAATAGTCCCTACCGACGTTTGTCCCACTGTTTGTTGGAGACAGATCGTAAATCCTGCCTTCTTCGGCTGACAGATATACGAGCGTGGCTTTTTGGCGGAATGAGTTGTGAGTTTTTGAAGTATCTTATCATATACGTAAGGAAAATCGCATTAAGGATTAGATTGTGTCAATGCTATGCCCTACGCTACGAATACTTTCGTAGAATTAACCTCCATAATATGTACAACGAGAAAACTGTATTTTAGCATAGTCAGCGCCATTGTAGATCGAATTAATATAAACACCAATTTTACATTTTTTCTAAAGTTATGGTAGGGTTCCTATGAATTCAATTCATCAACCTGCGTCGTACATTAGGTATATAAATACCTTTTTTGATAGCAGCGTTTTAACAACGATGTGATAATATTTTCCCAACATTTCACAATCGCATTCAATTAAAATTTTGTATGAAATGATATGTTTTGTTCTGTAATCATAAACAAATTCTTCCGCTTTCATAGTGTATTTTCTTGTACCCCTTTTTAAAGAGATACATGATGTGTAAGACAAGTAACACCACTAAGTATAGAGTAAGGGTTTCTTCATGAGCTTTCAATATTCCCATGTTTTCATCTCATTTACCTTTTCACTGGGCTTTCAAGAGTTCTATTCCATTCAGACTTCTACAATTGTTTTATCACAAGTTCATTATTACTCCTTATTATTATTCCCTAAGTTTTCTGTTTTATCACTTTGATCTTCATTATATTCCGTTATAATTGTTTAGGTCTTAACAAATAATTTTAAGATATTTTTTCTGGGGTTTGGATACATTAAGGGTTAAAGAGAACAGAATGAAGGTTTCATCTGTTTACATGTTTTGCAACTAAACACCCTCAACTTGACACACAATGTGTTTATATAAAACTGTATTCCTGGGCTCAATATAAATCACAAAACACATTTTTCCCATTTTAGACAGTTTAGTGGTTTAACACTCCCATTCTCCTGACTCCACGTGTGCTGCATCCAAATTGAAAAAAAAAACTAAAATAATGAAAAAACACATCAGAAATTGGTTGGAATATTCATATCTTACAAAATTGAACTTAATTACTCAATTTCTCTTATCTTCTCCACATTTCCCCGAGCGAGACGCATGGCTGACAAGACAGTTAATCATTGCATATCCGAGGCTCCCATCGTCTTATGCATATTAATTTCTTGTTTGTTTACTCCACGATTCGGCAACTCTGAAAGACAAGAGACTGTTTATCATAATTAAATCGCGTTCTGTAGACTGTTTGTCGTTATCTTTCTTATCCCTGCGAGTTCCCAGCAGTTGGCTGTCTGCTGGAAACATTTTCCTCCGTGATACTGAAAACAATTTGTTCTTTCCTAATTAGTTGTATTTTAAGCTCACCTATTTTATTTAGTGTTGTTTCTATGTTAGAAATGTTAACTTTATAAAATCATTTGCCATCAAATCTTTTCTTGCGAGATACTGGGGAACAATCAGTGCACAATTGTACTGCCAATTAGATACTTTCAGATCTAGCCTAGATTTAACTAAACGTTTTACTATTTAAAACCAAATTGTGTTGGGTTCTTTACTTGTTTTTGAAATAGATGAAACCCAAGGTCGATGTAAGTAACTGAAAAATGTTATCGACTAATTATGTGCCTTCATGAGGTTTTATTGTTTTCACACAAAATATTTAATTTTCTGTACTAAAACCAATGCTATGAACAATAAGAGGTACTCTGTAAGATTTCAAAGTGTAAACAAACTCGTAGTAGTCAACAGTTAATTTTCTGGTTTACGTGAGAAATCATTTAAGATAAAAAATGAATTTATATACCTCCTCTTCTGTGTGGATAGTATTACATGGTACTTGCCATCTTCCTTGTATTTTTATTTACAAATAGTTTTTACTGCCGTACTCCTAGAGCCATAACCAAAAAATCGTCGGCAATCGTTTAATATATATGTGAATTCATTTGATTATTTTACCAAGCACCTAAGTAGCTTCTTTATAATTTAGTAGCTGCTGTACCCGTGCTTTGCAACTGGAAGAGGACACAAAATAGAAACATTTTGATCTTCATATTTGTTGTATATAAAGTTACACATCTACTAACGCTTTTAGAAACAAAATTCGGCTGAACTTAAGTATCCATTGACATAAATAAATAAAAAAAATATTCTATAATGAAGTTTTATATTGAACTAGCTGGCCCGACAGACGTCATCCTGTTCTAATGTGGCTTTATGTCAATGCTCGTTCATTTTCAAGATGAGCTCGTTCGCATGGCTCAATCACGTCCTGGTTGAAGTTCGTTCGCTACGCTCACTCACCTTTAGGTTGGAGCTCGTTCGCTGCGCTCCCTTGCCTTTAGGTTAGCTCGTTCGCTACGCTAACTCGCCTCCGGGTTGAAGTTCGTTCGCTACGCTCACTCACCTTTTGGTTGCAGATTAGCTGTTGTCATAAATTTAGAAAAATATAGTGCTGCACCCTGTTGGTAAACCTATTACCTTTTTAATGCTATTGAACATCACAGAATCAAATTATTTAGTTGAACCAGCTGTTAAGATTATTTAATTCCATTTCAATATGAGTACTCTAAGGTTAACATGGGAAACTCCAGAGCCACTGGGGCGGAGCCCTTTTGACGGATCTTCACCAAACTTCACACAAACCATCCTTGAATAATGCTTAATAATGCCAATTTGTTGAGCGGTTTCGGAGCCCATAAAGGACAAACAAACAAACATACATACAATCATACATTGGATTATATATATATATATATATATATATATATATATTTAATAGTACTGCACCCTGTTGGTAAGCCTTATAACTTGTTAATGCTATTTAATATCATAGAACCAACTTACAACACAACAGCTGACAACCAGCTGACAAAATGCTTTTATTCTTTTTAAATATGAATACTCATAAGGTTAACATGGGAAACTCCAGAGCCACTGGGGCGGAGCCCGAAAGGACTTTTGAGATAAGAATGTGTCTATATGTTAATCGGGAATGTGAGCTATCATCACACCAAATTTTAGCCCAATCTGACCAGTATTTTTTGCGTTTACTTGTCACAAACATCCATACATCCAAACTTTCTCATTTATAATATTAGTAGGATATTTACTCTCTACAGTTTTAACCACTGTTCCCCACTGTATTACCAGCACCACACAACTGCACTGTTGGCCAGCAGCAGAGCAGCTAGCAGCTAGCAGTCCCGTTGTCCGTATCGATTAGTTCCTGAGTAATCGCTTTAAAAGCCTCACCTACCCCAGTCACTACCCCCACCCCTAGCCATCACACAATATTATTTTTAACTTATTGATGACTGGGACACACCCTCCGATGGTCCTAAGTCGGTTTTTTAATCTACGTCATCCCCAATCAGAATCATACTTGCTGTCAAAAGACGGGTTTGAAATTTCGAGAAATGGCTGTTATATTTTATTTTTATTTAATCTGTCAAGTCCAGTTTAGATCTCAACGTCTTTTTGATCAGAATCATGTTCGTTGGGAAATTT